GGAAATTAAATAATTTTCTCACACATAAGTCATAACTACACTTAAAATGAAAATAATATTCAAAATACATCAACCTTAATTACACAAGGAAAATAATAAACAAATACATTTCTACATACAATGAACATAAACACAATAAAACATGAAACAATAACCCCCTCCTCCCATTGAGAAATGGACTATGCCTACACTACCCAGAATTCTTTGGGATGGCATAAAAGGAGGAACAGGAAGGCCGCCCGTCCTCTTAACACCCACCCCCGGAAACCATGCTGCAGACACGAACACAGAAGGTTAGTTTTGCAAATGAGGATAAAACTAATGATTTGTGTAAATAAATACCAAAATAAAAGAAATAAAGAAATAAATCTCTTGGTGTTTATTTATCAGTCGAATGTGCACCTCAGACTAGAAAAAGTCAGCAAATAATGAGAAACAAACAAATATAAAGCAAACAGACACAGGGCATACACTGCCATCAGGGGTAACTTAGGACTTTGTCACAGTTATAGTCATTTATATTGCATTTAAATGCGATATTACAAGATTGCTCACTACTGCACTATGTTGGTTTCTATGTATGTCTGATTGTTAAATAATTAAAAAAAAGTTATTTATATTGAATTAGATTTATTATGGGGTAGAGTAATACATAATTCATTGTGTGTATAGTTTTTACTTTTTTAGGCATTTTTTTATGGTTAAGTGGTCTCACTGTCAGGATATTTTAATTTAAATAATTATTAATAATATAATTCTTACCAATAGCCATGATATTGTATAATTCATATATTTGTAGCTGTAAATAAGTTATTTATTATGGTGTCCATACTGTTGGGTACCACATTGCAAGTAAATGCAATACTTTTTTTTGGTTTACTTTAGCTATACTTATTGATACTGTTATGTTTAAATAAATAAGCTAAACCCACTGGCCCACCTCAACTTTTCGATTTAATAATCTGGCCCTAGAATGAAACTAATTGAATAGCCCTGGAATAAAGAATGCATTTTAAAAGAACACAACAAATAAGAACTTTAGACTGTAGACTGAGTTTTTGTCTCAATTCCTCATTAAAATACGACTGTGTTAGATTGTGTGACTAAATGTTGTTGGCCTGCACTCATTGCAGGCCCGTCTGCTAGACATATAAAAAATGATCGTGATTTTAACGGTAAAAAATGCTACAATGAAAAACTGTTTGGTTAACAGAACCTTTCTTTACTATATACAGTAAATAACTGTGATGGATCTAATTGTAAATTTCATGTAATTTTACTGTAAAATTACTGTAATTTAACGGTATACCATTAAATTTACAGTTTTTCAAGTGAAAATGAACAACTCATTGTATAATTTACAGTGAAAAAAAATGTAAATTTACATTCCCACAATTCCCAGTGCACTTCGCATTTGATGTATTTTTGTTGAAATAACTTGTTTCTTCATAGTTTGCTAGTCTTTTTCTAATCAGTTCTGTACATTAGGGTTTTATGTGACATTTAATGTTGTTAAATTAATGTTTATTGCCTTTTTAAAATTTCTTGTGTTACCATGATGTAGTTTAATGTTTGAGTGAATGAGAGTGCAGCTTCTATAAATTAATATTAAAGTTCTTGTGGAAGAACTATGTGATGAGTTTCCATATATAATGTGACTCTTATCACTGCTGTGATTGTTAGTTGTCCATGTATTACAATGGTTCAAAACAGAAATTAACACTTCAATTGGTTGATAATTTAACATTATATCAGATAATCAAAATACGTCTTATTTCTTTACATTTTAAGTTAAGTCTGTAAAATTCTTGCTACCGTATTTCATTCGGTAAATTTCTGACAACCACAGCTGCCGGTATTTTACCGTAAATTGAACACATTTTTTTTTTTTACAGCGTACTAGCTTATAAGAAGAAAATTGCAAAAAAAAAATTTTTTTTGCTCTACAGCCAATGATTTGCTGTAAATATTTAAATGTGTGGTGCAAAATGAATCAAACATGACTGACAGACAAACAGTCTTCCCAGGCAATGTCATGAGGATATTCTGAGTGTTTTGTAAGTCTCATAAAGGAGCACCGGCTGCATTTTCTTTTTGTTGCCCCATATCATTATGCACTATCGGAACTGCACTTTGGAAATGCAATTGTGTATGTCAAAATGCACACACCATTACTTGGAAAAATCAATAGGTTTCAGTAAGAGGCAGGGTAAAAACGATCCCATTAAGGTGATTATTTCTGTGCCCCCTTGATTACACTTACATAAATCTAGTGAAAATGTTTGCGATTTCATTAGCATTGTTCGCAGCCATTATCAGCGTCAGATGATATGATATTCATAGACATAATACTATTGAAAATATGGCTGATCCAGTCTTTCACTTATGTTATAAAACGTTTTTTGTACACAAAACAAGTGCAGTCACATGATGCTATTGTAAACGCTAATCCATCTGAATGTCAGGCTAATGAAATGTTTAAGAATGAGTTCTTTAACTATAAAGAACTGAATAAGACAGCAGAGCTCAGGCTGAGAAGATGAGGGTAAAGAGAGAGAGAGAGAGAGAGAGAGAGATGGAAGGGGGTTGGAAGACTTCCCTTCAGGCTACAGTCTGTTTGGAACCAGGAGGAGGAAATTCTCTCAAAACATCAGACATTGAGATGCAGTAGACAGTGTTGCCTCTCAGTGATTGAGACAGCACAACATGTCAGATAAAAGAATATTTTTTTTTAAACCGAATTGCATGCCATTAAAGTCGTTGCTTGTTACATACATTGAAAATAACGAGAACAACTAAAAAGGCCTTTAAAGAAACTGAGACAGTTTTCATTGCAGAATATAGCCTATATTTTAAGAGGAGGATATGATTTGCTTTTCCTTAGACTCACTCAAACTGAGCTGATCATACTTTATCATTTTAAATTGCCAATGCTAATAATTATATGTTTGCAAATTCATTTTTTTCTCTTTGCACTCGCAGAGCATGCAAAAATAAAGCGTTTGTTTCCATATATCACTGACAAAAAACCTTTCAGACTGAGAAATAAAAGTCTTCGAACAGAAAATCTGAACACAAGAACCTGTTTTTATCCTCTGCATAGTGCATAGTCACACTTTGCTCACAATTTCACAGTTTCAAAACATAAATAATTATTTTCAGCTCCATTTGGTTAACATGCAGTATACACATTACAAGGTTTTGTCTCGATTGACATTCATTGTTATTGTATGACCTTGTAATTAATGGATTCACACAGCACAGTTTTATATTCAGATTTTAATTGCTGGAAAAGGTACCTTTTGATAGGTACTGTTGATAGGTCATTATGAGGAAGAAGAATTTTCTATTGTGTTTACAACATATGACCTTTTCCTTCCTAGTTCCAATTTTCCAAACCACAATGTAATCTGCTAAAAGTTAGTTTGAAAAACGAATCAAGAGAAGACAAAGGCTTCTAAAAATAGATTCATTTTTTGAGGAAGGCAGACGCTCTTACAGTAAAACTCAGCCCATCCTTGTCATCATTGCGAGGCTTTGATGGAGACAGCGTCTTTGTGATCACAGAGGATAAAGTGTGAATTATGCACATTATCTGGTGTCTCTCTCTCTCATTAGGAGCACAATGCACAGGTACGGAGTGCCAAACAGCATATGCCTCAGAACACTGGCTGTCATGACAATTGGGAAGATAAACAGTTCCCCTAATCAGTTTCTTCTTCTTCTTAGCAGCTTGCATATGCTATGCATTCTACTGGACATGTGCTATAATTAGATCCAGTCATTTATCTATTTTAAGTGACAAATGTTGTTTTTATTGTCACTTGAAATGCTCAGATGGTGACATGTAACTATTTATTCAACTTAACCAAGCAATTCTCAACTATAACTGTAACTGTTATGAATTATACAACACAACCAACATCCCAACAAATTGAATAATAAATCAAGTAAATCGTGTTTTGTTTTGCACCAACTGGCATAAAGATCAATCTTAAACCCATTCTGTTGTTGCCGAATGTAACCACCAGAGGGCACTCAGTCGGACTATATGTATATGATGCATGTTTATGATGATCCAGGGGTATTGATATCCATGTTGGTGTTTTTTGTGTGTGTGCTAGAAATAACATTTACTTAAAGATGAATCAAAATAATTATATTTCACAAAACGTTCAATTCATTGATTTATAAATGCAACATGTATGATTCAGAGATATTGATAGGCCTATCCATTTTGGTGTTTTTTTTTGTGCTAAAAAAAGCATTTACATAAAGATTAATCAAAATCCAATACATTGATCTATAAATCATATATAATCCAAAAATTACCAGCAAAAACAGAAAACAGCAGGAGTTTAAGCATGTATTATCTAATGAGCTGGCTATATGGCAGAAAACATTGGACATGATTTAACAGTCAGTGTGCCAGTGAAAATTAGATGTTTAATGGAAAACTTCCCTTTTGGCCTCTCTATTATGTTGCAGAAGTGTTTTGGATTGGATGGGAAGAGCACCTGTTGAAATATCCGAGATGAGACACTTTGGGGGTGGATCTTAAAGTAAACTAGTCTAATATTGTTTTCTGCTGGTCTTAATTCTATATGGTCTTCACCAGGCCAAACTGGTCTAGGTGGTCCCCCTCCCAGACCAAGGAAGAAAAAAAAAACTAGACCTCTTTAAAATCAGCCAACATATCAGGAGTCTTAGGCTGGTTTAAGATGGCCTAGGCTACTTTCTCAGTTGGCCATTCAATCTTGCTCAACACCAATTTGATCAGCAAACCACCTTATTCTTTTTTTCAGCAGGGTTTTGGCTAGTTAGGCTGGGAGACCCCTCTTGACCACTTAAACCAGCTGAACTCCAGCTTAAACCACCTAAAACAGCTGAGACCGACCTGTTCAGCTTTTCAAACATGTTAAGTAAATGCAGGTTGTAACTGTTTTTTGTTTTTGTTTTTTGCAGGCAATTAAAGCACCACGATAAATAGGCTACAACCAGCGCGGTAAACACTGTTTACTTTAACAGTCCTCCCACTGAAGGGTTAAAGGGATTTACCATCATCCGCGGAGCGGGTTAGTTATTGTGGCGCAGCGCGAGCCTCTGGACGGCGCGCTGCAGCGGACGAGCGCTCGAGCGCAACTTCAGTACTCAGCACTGAGCGCCGACAGCAGTCAGCAGTGCCAGCAAACATAAACAATGGCGGAGCGGCTGTGAACCCAGCTCAGCGGATCGAATTTGCCCCATGGACGGGCATTTCGCGTACATAGACATGGAAAACCCGACCGAAAATCCAAGCAAGGCGGCGGAGTACCTGAAAGAGCTCAATAAAATCATCGAAACCCAACAGGAGTTGTTGGAGAAGCAGAAGAATCGGATTGAAGAGCTCGAACAGCAAGTGTGTGATCTTTGTCAAGAGAACGCGTGCCTGAAGGATCAGCACCAGAGGCACCTGGCCACCTGCAGACTGCAACAACAGGGCAACAGTCACCCCACGCTGGGTGCCATAAAGGAGAACGTGATCCAAGAAAAGTAAGAGTCCCACTTTTGCAAAGCTGTCACTGCTGGTTTCGTGTCTCGTTTGGACTATGTGTGAATGGAATATCTCTAAGCAGGAATGTCATATGCTGCTCTTTTAAAGAGACTAACGTTAGCTCAAGAGTGTTTATCTGTGGGTCACGCTGACCATGAACAGACTCGCTAATATCTTTGGGTGTGAGTAAAATACCTACACTTAAATGTCAGCGGGCGTTTTATGTATATAAAATGCCTGTCCTATTAAATTGAATATATAATCTTCAGGGAGCACAGCAACAGTCAGTTACAAAACACAAAGCAATTTTTAAAGAATGTCTCATGTCTGCGATGCTTATAATGCTGTGGTAGGCAGCTTGGACACAAACACACCCCCATCGACGGCGTTCGATTTTGACAGGCTTTTGACAGTTGAAACTGTCAACACAGCGTTATTACACCAAATCCTGTCTTGTTCCACGTTTCAACGGTGTTGTTTTATATACTTTATCCGGGTTAGTTAATAATCCTGGGTTGACATGTTTCGAGATTTCACACTGTACGTTTGTAAGTAGGCTACGGGTTAATTTTCTTATTTGCATATTTTGATTGGACAAATACAGCACGCAACTTAATTTAATAACGGATTTAATAACGGGGTACGTGTCCATCTATGGAAACGTTGCCAAGTAGATCAACACCAATCCAGTCTCTTTATCATTTCAGTAAACTCGTTTGCCTTCGCATGTTTGATTTTGTCTTAGACATAAGACTAAACAGCGCGTGAAAGTTCAGAAGAACTGTAAAGCTCATGAATATTATTCAAGCTCTGATTGGGTGGGTTTGCCTGTTGCCAAACAACGCGCTAAATCCACATTCTCTGGAGAACAAGGGTTTAGTAGGCTAACTCACGGTGTGAAGCATTGCTAACCGGGTTTTAAATGAACCCAGGGCTAAATGTGACACGCCCTAACGAACTCTATCTTTAAAAAGTATAAATACAATGAAATTAAGCCTTTTTCCTCATCTGAAATCCGAAGATACCCTGTAGGAGTCATAGGGTATTGCCGCCAGATTTAGTTGGCTATGACAAAAATTCCTCTTTTTAAGCAGGCTGTTTATTTAATGTTTCATTTATAAGAAAATTCACGATTTAATTAAGAGAATCCATCGCGGAAACATCTGTTTTCCAGATTTTAAACCAGTCTTTGTGAGACTATATGTTGACTGGCAAACGGCAAACATTAGCTAGTTGCACTCTTCTCAGCTTTTAAGATAGGCCTGTGTATTTGTTAATATACACTTTAAAACAAGCTTTCATATCCTTGTGATTGTTTGAGCTGTACTGCCCGTTTGGAATTCCTACACAAACCTAATTTTCGATGCAGTTTGTTAATAGGCTACAGTGTTACGTCACAACACCACTCTGACATAAGCCCACTCTAATCTGCTAAATTACTATTTTATTATGTTGACAATCAGGAGCTCACACAGCTTCTGGTGCCACACTATGTGAGGGGTTTGCTGGCTTGCTGCAGTGTGTTAGGATTTCCAAGTGGATTCACTGCAAGAGATAAGTGTTTATCTGGCATATTTATGGAAATTTAGTGTTTGGATGAGTCAGAAACATAAATTTCTCCCGAAGACATGTGCCGTTTTTAAGCTTGAGTTGGATTTGGAGTTTAGCTCTATGTGAACATGCAGTTGTCACATTATCCCTTGTAATGCAAACGCAGTGGCTGATCACTTATGATCTCTTATTTCTACAGTTTATATTGTGAAAAAATGTCCTATTCTGCTAAAGCACTCAAAAAGACGCATTTAAAGATGTTGATGTTTCATGAGCTGAGTTACACTTCACTTGCACTTTCTACAGTGCATTTTGTCAGCTTCTGTAGTAATTCATTGCAGAGAGGTTGCAGAGGTAGAAAGTTTGGCCTTCACCTTTCTTCTAGGCAGTGCAAATTCTTTGAGACTGAAATACTATATCTGTTCGATACAGTTATGATTAGGGAAGATTTTATTTTATTCCTGGCTCTACAATGACTGAGCTTTGTGCTGTAATATTTGCCATTCTTTTTTATTTTCCACTCGCTATTTGCTCTTTGCATATGCCTGACTTATCTGTGCCTTCTTGAATGTCAAAACAGATCTGTTCATAATATGCTGATTATGCTCTTCTTTGTCTCTTTTTCACCATCAGGCTCTCTTTGGTATGGTTAACTTAAAGTTTATTTTTTTATTGTGTTATTGTGGTACTAAATCAGAATTACTATAACGTTGACTCACGGTGTTCCGGACGCATACATTTTAACACATATATTTTAACAACTATAAGCAGGGTTGGTCGGATATGAAAGAGGATGAGGCAAAGATGACACGGATATATATAGATGCAATGACCATGAAGTGTTTATTTATAGAATTTGCGGGAAACGGTCGAGTGTCCGGAATACCGTGATGTCCGGAATACAATGAGTCTACATTACATATGCAACATACATCACAGTGGTTCAAGAGTTGTAGAAAGCATGGCATTATTGGTAACATTTCAGTTATTGGGCTTGCTTTTTCTCTGGGTTCGTGTTTTTTTTTTTTTTTTTTGGTACATGTGAGGCAGAGAAAAGATCAAATGTTTATCATCATTTGCAGAGAGGTTATTTCACTGGAGATGAATAAACAGAAAGGTTCTCGACAAGAACAATCAATGTATTGTTTGAGTTAAATACAATACACACACATTGGTAGTACGACTTGAAAGTGTAATGTACCTGAAAAAGTGTCTTGAAACCCGTTTGGCCCGAAGGTGGAAAAATGTTCATGCAATTTTTTTTGTTGCCAAATATCCTAAATGTATGCATCATTGCAATTGCCTGATTAATGTGATTTAATCTTCTTTTTTCAGTCTCCTTTTGTATTGACCTGTGAGACCTTCAAATCGTTAGAGAAGATCATCTGCTCTGATCTTCTGACATCCTCATGATTTCAAGGACTCTGGGTTTAACACTAAAGGAGAATGAGGAAAAAAAAGACCACTCCAGTCATTCTGCAACTTATTCTACAGAATAACTGGAGGAGAGAGGAACGTGCATAGTCATAAAGCTATTATATTTATAGCAATGTGTCAAATGCATGCTTCATTGAGATTTCCTGCGACGTGAAGTATGCTTCCTTTTTCCGCACTGTCCTTTACTGAGCACAGAGTCTTTCAATTCACTGGGATTCGAGAAGATCATCTCACATTCTCATGATTTGAAGGACCCTGAGTTTAATGCCAAAGGAGAATGAGAAAGGATGACTTTGTCACAGACAACAGTAAAGCATGCATTTAAGATACAATGCTGAGAATATCACGATACAACTTGATTTGTGACTACATGTTCCTTTTAAGTTCCGCCTGCATCTTGAATGGAGTGGTTTTCTTTTTTCACTCTTTGGTGTCACACCAAATATACTTTATTCGTTTTTAGAGGAGTTTAAGAGGATCACCTTCTCCGATCTTATTCCCTCATGATTTTAACAGTCTAAAGGATGTGATATGACTTCATATGACAGGCAATAACAATAAAGCATATTATGTAGCTTGAATTCACTATAGTTGTCTTTTTCTCATTCTCCATGATTATCTCACATCCTTATGATTTGACAGACTTTAACATAATATGTCAACATATCTAAACTTGGACATTTACTCGGGGCCTGTACCATGATGATAGTTGAACAGCCTCAAGGTTACACGATTAGTTTCGAGTTGACAAAACTAAACCAATCCAACAAGGAATTGTTGGTAACATGATACTTATCATTAACTTTCATATCAACTCAGGCTTTGATCCTGAGTTTAGCTGTGACAACAGTAGTGAACAGCGAATCACATGGAAACTGCGATTCACTTAATATAAGGAGATTTAGAAAAAATACACTGCAAGAACAAATACCTGTATATGAAAAAATCTTTCTTTATCAGTCTCAGTCCAAGTAAAATTTGAGAAGTTAGTTTAATTGATGGAGTTATAGAGAGAATTGAACATTTAAGCTCACGTGAACTCATTTTTATAGCTTTATCAATTGATTCTAACGCTTATTCATTTAATCTAAGTGGTTAATAATATTGATACATAAAATTGTAGATTAAGGGCATAATAATTACATAAATAATATCTAAATCATACAAAATTATTATTATAAATAAGCACTGCTAAAAGCCAGATGATTTTGTCTTCAAAATCATTTCCTATGTTGCCTTTAATTAGGAGTAGAATCAGGGGGAGTGACTTTATTGTGTCAGACATTTGTCCATTTGCTTACCGCTGATTGGTCTAAATTCTGTTTTGAGATCTCTTACCTGGAAAAGACAAACCACTTTCATGGTGCCTAAAACCCAGTCTAGTGCCTGACCCGAAACAAACCTGGTTAGCCACCTAAACCGGCTTCATGGTAGATGACCTTGCACTGAGTTTCTTAAAAGCATCAATGGTCCATAGAATGTTGACCACAATGGTCTCTACGATTCAGGGTGTCTGAATTTTGAATAACGAAATCAAAGTTTGAAGCAGCGTGTCAGATATCGGCAAGTCATAACATCACATTTCTACACGTGCAGCTTTGCTTTGACAATCTGTTTCCTTGCTGTTCCATATTTTTATATATGGAACTGGTGCCATTATCGCTTGTGACTGCTTGCAAGCACACACTGTGATTTTGAGAATGGAAGTGTAGTAGGCAATGAAAGTTCAGCCAATGATTTATGTGTTGCAGTTCACCTTAGAAGGGGACTGTATTTGGTATGCGTTGTTTCTGCACCATATTGTAGAGAGTTAAAAGACCGGTGTTTTTTTGCTGCAGCCGATTGCTGGCCCTCATGCCACGAAGCACTTTGCCACGTCAGCTCACGGCTTTGTGCTGACAGAAGCAAACTGGCAATCGCAGCATAGCCTGAAATGGCTGAAGAAGCTATTGGCGATTTTTGTATTCAAATGTCAGTTAATGCAATGCTTGTGACATTTTCTAATATTTAC